TCAGAGGACTTGTATTTTATTTAAAAGATTTCTTAGTAAAGCTGCAAGTTATTTTCACAATAATTTTATTTTAAAAATAGTTAAAAGCCTATTAAATTATCTAAAATTAAACAAGTTACTCGTTGTCAATGATAAGTTTTTAAAAACGTTACATCCGTAGCCATTTTTAAAATTTTAAATTATTTTTAACTCTACTACGCTTGCGTATAATAACTTTCCACTTATTTCTAAAGTCTAAACGACCGTGCGCTGTGAATTTAGTTTTTACTGAGAAACAACAGATTCTGAAACTCAGCGCTTAAATGTTTTCATATCTGTGAAAGGTTTTACTTGATCTTTAGAACCCGCATTTACAATTTTTTATACAACTTTTTTTTGGTTAAAAATGTTTAATATTTAAAAATGAACAAATTTCGTTTATATAATGATAAGATGGTAAAAAAAAAAGTTTTTATATTAAAAAAAAAAGGTGCCAGAACGCAGTTTTTGTGCGTTGTAGAGAAAAAAAGCACTTTAACATTAAATATTACACAATTAGAATCAATATTTTATGTTAATGTAAAACGCCAATATTTTTCCAACTTATATTTAGATCAGTATAACGTTAATCAAACTTTAGAATTTTACGTTAATATAACGTTAACATCTGACGTAAATCTAACGTAAGAATTTTATGTTACAAAGCCTTTCTATTTTGCCGAACCGACAACGTTGTACTAACATAAAATTTAACATAAATACAGCGTTAAAACAACGTTGTGTGCCCGCTGGGCTGTTGCATGTCGATATAAATAATTAAACTTGCAACTGAAATGTCTTGTGTATATATTCAGCATTTCAGTTATCAAATTTATTTTGAGTATTTTAGCTTTAAAAAAAAAAAATATTTCGGTTTTAAGGTTTTATTAGCAGAACTTGTTTTTAACATATGTTAGTAAAAATTTTAAATTAAGTAATTTAAAATTTTTAAATTCTTCTATTATTATTATTATTTTTTTTTTATAGTGCTTAATTTTTTTGTTTTAAATTAAATAAGTATGAATTAAACTTTAGGAAGTTAAAAAACATAAAAAGCATTTCTGTTTGATTGTGTTATTTTTATTTGGTTATTAAGGAAAGTTTATGTATCTAGGGCCAGACTCTTTCAATGCCCCAAGTTTAGACTCCAGACTTGTCTAAAAATGATGTAACTGATATGATTATATTTCTGTACTTATTACTTTGTATTTAATATAGGTATAATAACTAAGTACATAATTTTGGAAACCTTCTACATAATTATAAGTTAGTCATATAGAAGTCTTCGAAAATTAGTGGCCTTGGATACAATAAGCTTTTTTTAAATTGTACCTTAGGGCACAAGTTGTTGTACCAAAGACCGCTCTCTAAAAGTTAGATAATATTAACTCAATAATGAATTGACAACGAAGATAGACACCAAAAATTTTATAAAAATTTGTTTTCAGAATTTATCTAGTCGGAATTTCCATATTAAAAATTGTTTAATGTTAATAGAATGGAGCAAAATTGAAGAATAAGTCTACGCACAGAATACTCAAAACAACAGCGAATCCCCAAAAAACAAAATGCTTGCAAGAATTTCAGCTTTGCATGTGTACAATTAATGTACCGTAGTGAAAAGTTAGTTTTGTTAGGATCAACAGCAAAAAAATAATATCAAACATTCATTCTTTTCTTAGTGAAGATTCAAAAGTATAAGCAACGGCCCTGCACTATAAAGGGAAACATATCTAATTATTATCTGTAATCTAATTGACTATGTAAACGTCAGGAAAAAACTATAAAAGAAGCATAAGTTAAAATTCTTGGCGAAACAAAAGGTAAATGGTCTTATATGATTGAAAGAATTTATTTGCACATCGCGTTATTAAACATAATTTAACAAAATATTCACCATTTTTCTATTATATAACCAAGAAAGAACTTTACCTGTGGATATTAAATATGGATTATTTGATATTAAAAAACATGAATAGGAAACTTTTAATGCTTTTGATGCCTCAGAAGCTAGAGATCTGTGGTTCAACGCCACCTTTGGACAAGTTTTATAACATCGGTAAGGAAGGAGGCGTAAAATTTCTTTCAAATGCTTTTCCGCATTGATTATATGGAAAGGACTTTTTTGGGCACCTAAAATAAAAAATTCAAAGTATAATGTCACATTGATCAAACCATATGCTGATAAAAATGAGATCCTCTTACATATTTAAATGTTGAATTCTTGTGTTAAAACTAAACACAATGTTAGAAGTATATTGTGCATGTTACCAATTGAAGTTATTGAACTGATATTGCCTAATGCAGTTAAGACCTTCAATAAAGATATTAATCATTTTATAATAGCTGTATCAGATTTAAATAGATTTTGCAAAAATATGAGAAGTTACATCTTCCTAGACTTTGAGAGTATAAAAACTCTTGGTTTACAGTTAAGCAAGTATTTTGGAAAACATCTTAGATGATAATTCATTGATACAAAAAAGGTATTAATATCTGAACCGATTAAATTAATTTGAAAAGTATTATCATTTAGATAACATTTGGGTTATGTCATCTTAAAGCTGTTGTTATCGAAGTGAGTTGAGACGCGTCAATTTCAAAAATAACTTCAGGAGGTTTACATTTGATAGAAAGAAGGGTTAGGCAAATTTTAATTAATTTGAGATTTTTTCCAAAAAAAAGTGTAAGAGCGTAGTTTATATACCAATGATAAAAAATGTAACTTATTATCTTAACACAATAAATTTAGCTAAATTAGAGTGGCATTTCTAATATTAATGCGCCATTATATAGCGTATGATTTTTGATGGTGAGTTAACTGCAAGACAATTTAAATTTTTGATAATTATATTAAAATTAATGTAGCTATTTTTTGTCTTAAAATTAATGTTGCTATTTTTTGTCTTAAAATTAATGTTGCTATCAGATTAAAACTTTAGAGAAATGAATGATAGCTCAGAGCCTGTGTCAATAAGAGTTGAAACTGGTATTCTATTATTTATAAGGTTTGATTTTTGACTTTTAGAAGCTAAAATTGTGACTGTATGCGGAGTATTATCTTGATCAAAGTTATTACACTCGTAATGTGTAATACACTTTGTAGGTGATTCAGTTGGGTAGTTTTAATTTATGCTGTTATTTTGATCTAATTTGTTACTAAAACAGGTAGCTGTTTGATGTCCCTTTTTTCCTACAGATATTAAATATTGAATTTCAGACATTTCATGTTGTTGCAATTGCATCACCGATTAAAATTGTTCATTTTCAGTAAATGATTTTATGATTTTATTTATACTAAGATTTGTAATTTTTCCATAATATGGTTGTCAGATTCTTATTCAAGATGTTTAGTATACCTTATTTATATAAGTGTAGTTTTTTTTACTGATTTCAGATTTGTTATGAACTTTGTGAAATCTTCAAAATTTAGTTATGGGAGTCAACAGATAAATTTTTTAATTAGTTTGAGGAATGTTATTTAAAGAAGAAGATAAACCTTGAACGCTTTGGTTGATTATTTACATCTTCAATTGGGTATTTCCCAATAATGTATATTCATAATTTCGTGAATTGTGCAAATTAAAACCGGTTTCACCAATATAAATCAGATCAGAATTTAAAGAAAAAAAATTATTATTACTGAAGTTAAAACTCATTTTTTTTATTATTATTGTGGTTGCTACAAGTGTTGTTGCACAAGTCAAATAGAAAATTTAGGAGTAAAGAAATAACAATTTTTAATTAAATTTTTTTGTTACATTTTGTGTTTAGAAGTGTTAGTTCTTTAAAGTTATTTTACTCTTAATAAGCGGGAAAGATTTACTACCACATCAAAAAAAAAAAAATAAGTTTATCTGTATCCATTATCTCTGCTTTTATGATATTTGTTTGTAACAATCTTTTCTTATAAAAATATTTTTCCTATAAGTGTTCAGCTAGAAGTATGCTTTAGAATAGATCCGTTGTGAAAATAAAGATATATAAAAATATTGTTGCAGATCTGATCAAGACTAATACATATTGTAAATATTACATGTTAATAGTAAGGTTATTATTATATATCTAAAAATAAAATAAGCATATTATTGATAAGAAATCAACTCACAATAACAAATGACTCAGTATATTAAAATGTTAAAAGTTTCGTTGTAAAAAAAGAAACATTTAAAAGATGAATATTTCATAAGTCTTAAATTTTTTCTAAAGTATTTCATAAATAAGTCTTAAAAAATTGTACTGTTATGATAATATGAAATATGGAGAATATATATAAATATATATGTTTTGTATAATATTCTATATACTTTATGTATTGTGTTATTTTGTTATAGACTAGTATAATTATAGCTCTTTTGAGCCAACATAATTAATATGGTTATTCTTTACAATCAAAAGAGCTATAATATTATTATGAAATAAAAGAAAGATGGATCGATTCATGAAACCTGACAGACTTGGTATAGATCCAAACTCAGCAGATGCAGCAAAAACATACAACCATTGGTTAAGAACATTTAACAATTTTGTAAGTATAAAACCATATTGAACCTAATGTATATGAATTCATATCAGAGTGTGATGATTTCGAACAAGCAACAAGTATTCTAGAGTCTATCTACATAAAACCAAAGAATGAAATATTTGCCAGACACATTTTGTCAACACGGAAGCAAAAACCAAGTGAAACAATAGATCAATTCCTCAATGAACTTAAAAATTTATCTAAGGACTGTAAGTTCACTGCTGTTACAGCTGAGCAATATAAATCTGAAATGATTGGCGATGCGTTTATAAATGGCTTACTCTCCAATAGTATACGCCAACGTTTACTAGAAAACAAAATATTAGACCTTTTATCAGCCTTTGACCAAGCTTGATCTTTAGACGTGCCCCAACAAAACTCAAACTTATACTCACAATTGACTATACCTACCTCTGCCTCTATTCAGGAAATCAAATCACCTTTACAAAAACAGTCCATGACTGATAATCACTTAGCTGCTACAGCAAAATCAAAACAATTGTGCTGGTTTTGTGGAAACATAAGACATCCACGTACTAAATGTCCTGCTCGCGAAGCTATCTGTCACAAATGTAAAAAGATTGGTTATTTTGAAAAACTTTGCAGATCATCTAATGTTTCTGCTGCTATTCCTAAAATTGATGATGATTACTTCTGTGCCACCATATCAGCTTCAGCAAACTCTCTATTCAGAGTTTGTCATTACATCATTATTAATGATAGATATAAAGCAGAAGCATTAATTGATAGTGGAAGTACAAACAAAAGTTTTATAAGCAACAAACTAGTGACTCTACTCCATTTAAATATTATTTATGAACAGAGTGTAATTGGAATGGCATCAGCTGCCTTATCTGCAAAATCAGATGGATATTGTTATGTCTCAATAACTCTTCAAAACAAAATCTATAACAAAGTCATTATTTGCTAATCTCACGCAAGATTGTCGACCGATTGCCACTAGATCTAGAAATTATTCTCAAAGAGATAAAGAATTTATTAAATCTGAAATCCATCGCCTGACTCAAGCAGCAATAATAGAGCCTAGTAATTCACCTTGGCGTGCCCAGGTCTTAGTAGTAAATGAAAAGACTAAACGTCGCATGGTTGTTGATTACTCTGAAACTATTAATAAATATACTCAATTAGATGCATATCCTCTACCTAAGATTGAAACGATTGTGAATATAATTTCTAAATACAAAATTTATAGTACTCTTGACCTTCGCTCAGCATACTACCAAATCCCTTTATCAAAAAAAGATCGATCATATACTGCTTTTGAAGCTGACAATAAGTTGTGGCAATATACTAGAATGCCTTTTGGAGTTACCAATGGATCTGCATGCTTTCAACGCAAAATAGATGACTTTGTTATAAAATATAAACTAACTGACTGCTTTCCTTTCATTGATAACATTACAATATGCGGTAATAGTCAGAAAGGACATGATGAAAATCTACTTAAGTTCAGATTAGCTGCCATTGATGCTGGAATTACATTTAATGAAGAGAAGTGTGTATTTTCAACTAAGACTTTAGATTTTTTAGGTTACCGTATATCGTATGGCTCTTTAAAACCAGATCCTCAGAGACTTGCTCCTCTCATCAAGTTACCTCCACCTGATAATGCAAAGTCTTTACAGCGTATTATTGGAATGTTTTCGTACTATGCAAAATGGATAAGAACGTTTTCAGATAAAATTAGACCTTTAAACTCTATTACTCAATTTCCACTCAATCAGCAGCAAATATCAGCATTTGAAACATTAAAAAATGAACTTGTTCAACCTTCCATGCAAACCATTGATGAGAATATACCTTTTACTGTGGAAACTGATGCTTCTGATTTTGCCATATCCGCCACACTTAATCAGGATGGAAGACCTGTTGCCTTCCATTCACGTACCCTTCAAGGGAGTGAACAATACTATTCATCAGTGGAGAAAGAAGCTCAAGCGATAGTTGAAGCCATAAATCATTGGCGTCATTTTCTTTTGGGTCGACATTTCATTCTCATCACTGACCAACGATCTGTGGCGTATATGTATGATTATAAATCAAGCAGTAAAGTATAGAATGATAAAATAATGCGTTGGAGAATAGCTTTGTCTCCATATTCTTATGATATCCATTATCGTCCTGGCCAATGTAATAGTGGTCCAGATACATTTACTCGGGTTAAATGTGCAGCAATAAGTTCAGAATCTTTATATAATTTGCATGCTGCACTTTGCCATCCTGGTGTTACTCGCTTCCATCATTTTATTCGATCAAGAAACCTCCCTTATTCAGTAGAAGATGTAAAACAAATATGTAGGGATTGTAGAATATGTAGTGAAATAAAACCCAAGTACTACCGCCCAAATGATGTGCACCTGATTAAGGCGACTCAGCCATTCGAACGTATATCTATTGACTTCAAAGGCCCATTACCTTCTTCAACCCCTGAACAGTATATGCTAACAATTGTAGACGAATACTCACATTTTCCATTTGCTTATCCTGTGAAAGATATGACAACTCAGACAATAATAAACTGTTTAGCTGATCTTTTTTCAATGTTTGGTATGCGTAGCTATGTTTATGTACTTATAAACATAGTTTATTATGTACTTCTACTAATTGTAGTCCACATGAACGTTTTTTTAATTTTCAAAGAAGATCATCATCTGGGTCTTCAATTCCTTCATGGCTTGTTAACCCTGGACCTGTACTTATAAAAAGAAATGCAATGCAAAGTAAATATGAAGATTCAGTAAATGAGGCTCAGCTCATTGAAGCAAATCCTCATTATTCCATTGTGAGATTTCCTAATGGTCATGAGACTACAGTGTCTACAAAACAGCTGGCTCCTATCGGAACAACTCCTATAGTACAAACATCAAATGACAATTTAGAAATAACAGCTATTGATAACTACCTCTTAACCCCTAATGGTAGCAATGAAACTCCGTTAGTCTCCGAAGAGGAACTAGAAAGCAGAGGGAATCCTATAGAGCAAAGTACTCTGCCTCCTCGTAGATTTTCACGAATTTCTAAAGCACCAGAAAAACTCAACTTATAAATACACCTGAACACTTTTAAGAGGAGGGTGAATGTTATGATAATATGAAATATGGAGAATATATATAAATATATATGTTTTGTATGATATTCTATATACTTTATGTATTGTGTTATTTTGTTATAGACTAGTATAATTATAGCTCTTTTGAGCCAACATAAGTAATATGGTTATTCTTTACAATCTAAATATAAAATATTCTAGTATATATAAATAGGTGCAAGAAAGTTTAGATTTAACAATACATATCGATTTGACTAGTGTTATTCAATTCGACTATGAAAAATTTATTGTAATGAAAATAAACATCCTAAGTGTATACAAAGGGAAAAAACAACAAGGTTTTTGCGTAAACATTTTTTCTGTGTTGAGAAAGTTTCAAGCATAAAGTTTTAATAGCTTGTGAAAATAATTATACTGAGCCATTCAAAATTAACTTATTGATAAATGATGAAATTATTCTTATAACTAATGGTCAAATGGTGGCTGGGTATTATAAATGCAGCTCAAGCAGAAGTGGATCTAAAATTTATTCTCCTTTGGAGAAATTTTATTGTGTAACAAGCCTCACAACTTCATCCACCCTCATACACAACTACTTTCAGGTGCCAAAGAAACGCCTCTTACCAGTTTATCAGTTGTGAATTTTTTTTCCGCTTTTTTATTACATTTAACTATAAAACATTTTTAAAAACATCACTCCTTAGAAAATCATTTTTCTAAGGAGTGATTTAATGAATGAATTGAAATGAGGTTACCCAAGTGAAATAAACTTTTTTAAAGTTTTTTTAGTCGAAAAGGCTACTTTTAATTGTGGTTACAACCCTCTGCTTCGGACGGAGCGACAATTTATGCTTTGCACGGGTCGAATAAATAAGTGGAAATTTCACGTTTTTTTAATTGTTTACAACGAGATCCAATGCGCTTTTAAAAATGTCTGATACAATCTAGTTTAATTACTTCAATACCCTTGTATGTGTTTTTGACAGATGTGTAGCTTTTGCTATCACCATCATCCGAGTATTCTGTGCATCGTAAATTAAATTTTTGCAAAAAGCGATTAAATATCTTTATTGTCTCAACTGTTTCCATTCCACCGGCTGATCCTTCATAGTTTTTATTGCAAATGTGTAATTTTTTTGCTGTTGGCTGCTGTTTTGAATTAACAACATCTTGATTTTTGTCACATATTTTACACTTTCTAGATAATGCTTCAACAACTAAAACCTTCCCATTTTTAATTGATAATGCTGCGGTCACCGCATTGTGTGAACTAAATCCTCTTTTTTGCCATGTTATATCAACAGAAACTCCAGTATCTAAAATCTCATTAGGATATTTACCTTCTCTGTTCTTGACAGCTTCATTCATAGTTTCAATAGCAACAGTTTGTATTGCAGTTGCCAATTTTTGAACAATAACATTATAGCTTTTATTGCATAATCCTATTGGGATATTCATAAGAGTGGTAAACCTATGTAGACCAGCTTAGCCTTGACCAAGTGTTTTCATAGCATACACTAATCTTTTGTTAATATCAAACTCTGCTTTTTTTGATGTGTCAAAGTCTAACTTGAAACCACAAACACAATTTAATGATAAATTTGATGCATATTCTTTGCAAGACTTTTTATTTTCGCTCAACGACAACTGTGATGGTCGCAAACATTCTAGACACCCAAGTTTATCAAAAATGGAAGTAAGAATTTACACCAATATTTACACATTTTTTTTGCTTTCTTAAATCAGAAAATATACATTTACGTTTTTGAAATTTTACTCTATCACTATTAGATTCTGTTTTAGACTTGTCCATTTTCTCTAATTATATAGAAAGCTTGAGTTGATTGTGTAGAAGCTTGAAAAGATGACTAATTTTAGCACTATAAGTCAAATATGTAGTTTTAAAGTATGGCTCTAGAGATAATGTGAAGCACTTCAAACTAAACTGCAAAAAATAAAAATAAAATAAAAAACCGGAAAAAAAGCTATACTAGATGTGTTTTATTGACAGTTTTTCTATAACTAGGGGCGTTGCTAGGTAATTTTGAACTCAGGTGGTTGTACAAAAATGTCATTTATTGATATAAAAAATAGCTATTTTCAAATAAGGTTTTTAGCGTTAGATTTCTTAATAAATTTTCTTTTAAAATATATGGAAAAAAAAAATCGAAAAAAAAAATTTTTTTGAGAGGTTTTTCCCCTTAAGTAATTCGCACTTAATGAGCCCCCAAATTGGCATTTTTCTGACGCGTTAGAAATAGTCTCTCTAAGTTTGTGACGTCTTGAGATCAGCAGTGATTTGTTTAAAAAAAATTAAAAATAGTAAAAGTCCTTCAATAAACGTTTTAAATTTACGGATTGAATTTCGATATACAAATTGTTTTATAAATGCCATATATAGGTTGAACTGGCTAAATAATTGTTTATAATTTAAACTTGAATGAGTTATATATATAAATAAATTAGAATATAAATATGATATTTAGAAATTGATATAAATATTTAATTTTTCAGAGTTGTTAGTCCTTGTCCTTGGCTTTGACCTGGCCTTAAAGTTACCAATTAAGGCCTTGGCTATGAAATGGCTATGAAACTTTTGGTCTTGGCCTTGAATTTTTGGCTTTGACCTTGATTGTTTTGGGCTTGGTCTTAATAATAAAATACATGAAATTAAAGAATTTAAAGTTCTCACTCTTTATTGTACATAAATTAATTATTAATTAATTACGCAATTAATCATTCTTTATTTTACATAATTACTTTATTAACGTAAGGCAGAAATTTAAGTCTTTGGTCTTGAAAATGTTTGCATAGCCGTTGGCCTTATTCTTGGCCTTGGCCTTATAACATATGGCCTTGGC